CGTATCCTATCGGTGTTGAAATTTCCAGTTGTCATATAAATGTCACGATCTGTTGAAAGAAGCTGGTCATCCTTCATGCCGACTCAGCGTCTCCTATCCGTGCCCTTACGGTATCGGTCAGGATGTGGCTCCGTGCTCTGCATTTCCTGTGACTTCCGGTTGGGCACAGCGCTTCATTAGATCAGAGCCGACTGGTTTCCAGCAGCTCATCAACAGCATTGTCTTCTTCCCTGAGGAGGCAGTTGATGCCGATCATCTGTCGTGCTGCCGTGTTGCAGCCCTTGGTGACAGGCGACATCACTCACTAGGAGCTGTAAAATGCCGATGTCCTGACCCATCAACCTTTTCCATGCGACAACTGGTTCTATAAGGAACCTTCACCTGGGGACACCGTTCGTGTAGGAAGGAAGGGACGCTGTCTCGAAGCTTTCCTTTCTCTTTACTAGTTTGTAAATACTACGTTGACTTACCAGCCGCCTCCAATGATGATTAACTCCATGAGATGTTTCTTTTGTACCATTTTAAGTTCGCAGTCAATGAGCTTTAATCCACGGCAGTTATTCTTATCGATGTGTCATTGTCGCATCCCCGGCGGGTGAGAGGCTCCTCAGCTTGGCTTCTGCGCCATTTTGGCGTGGTCCTGGGAGGCTTCCAAGTACCTTCCTCGGTGTCTCATATAATTCCGGTCTCAACCCCGGATTCAGCCAGTTGCAGAAGGAACCCCGATGTCATCTGGTACAGAGGGGCGTTTCTAGACCACACCGCGCGTGGGTCACGGATCACAGATGACGTTGTATATTTTATGATCAACATATGAACGTTGACAGTCTTAGGAAATATCACGTGAGCAGTGTCTCATCAGAACCTACATGAGCACAAGTAAATCATATCTGAGAAGAAGGTAAAATGAGCAATAATAGACCGTTGTTTCTGTTGGCAGTAATTTAAAACTCAACGGAGATAATCATGAGAAAAATCAAATTTACTCCAGTTATTATGTGCACTATTTGTTTCAGAAATTAAAATCTATTTATATGCAAAGGTTCCTTCTGATATTTATATAAGCAGGGATTAATATACTCTTCAAAACCAACCAGCATATCCAGATTATACTTGGCAATGAGAACTAAATTATTTCAGTTGTTACGAAATCTATAGTACCATGAAATGCCACAACATTTTTAAATTTTTCGTAATGGGCGAGACCTTTGAAAGCTTTCTAAAGAGTGCATTATCGTCAAGCAAAAATAAGCCACATATAAAGTCAACTGATCTGTGATAGATACTCAGAGTAAATGACTGGAATTTTATCTTATGTTTGGAAGAGGGAGGAAAGTAATCTGTCTCATTGCTGCGTATTTTCATATCACAATTTGGAGACACAGAATAAAATGAAAAATAATCGTTTTTCTTGTGCTAGCTGCCGGTGCAGCTTATTTCTATTTTTATAATGTTTTTTTGCTTTGAAGGATTACTAAAGTATGTAGAACAAGCAGATTAACGTCGTATTTTAAATGCAGAGCGCTGGGTACTTGGCCTAAGAAAAATATCTTTAGGAAAATCTTTTTGAAGAGTCTTACACTCTGTGTCTCATAGTGTCCCCAGGGAGCGTGACTTTTCCATTGTACCCCCCTGTCCTCATAGCCTTCAGACGAACGTCACACTCCCCTGAGGGTATCGCCGTGATGCGGACAGAGGCGCTATAACAGAATCTCATGAGGAGGCTCTGAAGGTGTCATTTGTGAAGACCACCATATCCATCCCCACTTCCGCGGCCCCCTCAGCCCGGAGCGGCACCCCAACACCATGGCTGTGAAAACCGCTTCTTAGCTCACGTGTACGTCGGATCGTTGGTGAACCAGACTTGTGATAGCGTTCATTTGTCAGGCTCATCGTACCTTTTCTTAGCGCCTCGTCACATGTCCCTCATTATGTGAGGACTCGGACAGGAAATCAGTGAGGTTTGGCTTCCTCCCTTGAGAGTCACACACTCCAGCGGGGGAGGCGAAGAGCATTAGACAAAGTAACGTGCTGTGACGGGCAGGAAACGGATGAGCGAGGTGCGGGGCGTCAGCGGGAGAGACTAATTCTGCCCGGCAGAGGCGTGTGCAGCGCCCCAAGGGAGAGAACTTTGTGCCGAGCCCAGAAGGACTTTCCCCGGCAGGAGCGGGGTAGGAGAAAGGCTTTGCGGGCAAAGGCCGCGACCTGAGCAAGCGGTGGGGTGTGAAGGCAGGGCGGTGACCAGGATGGCGGAACATTAAAATGGGTGACAGACCCAGCCGGGAGTGCTGAGGCCCTGAATGTCAGACTCAGGAGTTTAGCCGATGTGTCTCTGCCAAAGGAGCCAGAAAAAAAGAAAAAGAAAAAGCTTTGAATGAGGGGTGTAGCCCTGTCTGCAGACAGCATGGGACTGAGGGACAGTCCCGTTGGTAGTCCGCAAGGGAAGGGGGTGACACTCTGACCCGGGCAGGACACCGGGAGTGAAGAGGAAGAGGTGGCTCCGGAAGCCTTCAGCAGGTGCGGGTGGCAGATTGAGGATGAGAGGCAAAAAGGGGGCAAGGACGACTCCAGTCTCGCCCGGTGGTGAGCGGAGCAGCCGCCACGCCCAGCGAGCTCGCCGCGCGCCAGGCGGTGCTCCAGGCGCACGACAGGTGTTACGCGCACTATGCCACGGAGCCCTCACGCGAGAAGCGTAAGGGATACCCCGTTGTTTCACCTAGTCTACAAGCCAGAAACCATTTATAAACAGCAAAACACCATTCGGTAATAAAAGTTACAAATCACCAGGAAGTTCTAAACTTGCATTAATCTAATAAAACAGACACCAAACACATAAAACTAAGAGTATCTACAGGAGAGAAATAATCCGTCACGGTGGATTTTAACATAACATTTTTTGATTTATCTTTGATTTCAAACTTTCAGCATCTTGTTCTTCCTTAAGGAAAGGTGATGCAGATAAAGAAAAATTAGCTCTGAAAGAGGCAATTTAGCAATACAACCAACGTCGTTAATTTAGTGAATGTGCACTTGGGAAACCAGAAGGAAAAGAGATGGATAGCGGAGGAGAAAAAACATTTGGAAAACATTTGGCGCATCAATGGCTAACGATTTGATAGAGACAAATTCGCAGATACGAGACGCTCAGGAAGCTCGAAACAAACAAACACAGAGAAGCCGAGGCTCAAGGTGTCGTAATCAAACCGTCGAATACCAAAAACAACAAATAAATCTTGAACGCAGAAAAAAAATGCAGGGAAATAACATGCAAAGGAAAACGATTCAATGAATAGATGGATTCGATTCTAATGACTTCTCATTCAAAGCCATGGCAGCCAGAGGAGAGCAGGACAAAAATGCAAAATGCTCAAGAGTAAAAGCAAAACCTACCCCTCTAGAAATCTCCGGTAAGAGAAAACGGCCTTCAAGAATGTACGCGAATTGGTTTTCGGATAAAATCAAGGTAAAGGAACTGAGTGCCAGCAGATCACGCACCCGGAAAGCCTCTAGAAAGTTCTTCGAGCAGTCGGAAAATGATATTTGATGGAAATTCAGACCCTTGATAGAGAGTTTAAAAAATCAGAAATGGTAAATAGTGAGTAAACGCAAAAGACGTTTTTTTCTTTTTGACTTTTTCTTCGTAATTTCTTTATAAACCCTATACTGTTATAAATAATAATTTTAACATGGCCTTGGGGAATAAAATATGTTGATGGAAGGCACATAAGTCTAAGAACATGGCTCTGGGGATGAAAGTCGACAGATTTCTATAGGTTATGGGAAGTGGTCCATTCAGTCTTTGTAGACTGAAAAGGTAAAGATATATATTATAACCCGTAGGACGACCGCTAAAAATAGATGCAAAGAAATACAGCAAAAAAGAGGAAAATTAAAATCCTAAATATATTCAAGAATAAAATGAAAGCCAGGCAGTAAAAAAGGAGGGAACGAGTAGAGGGGACCAGTAGAAAACAAACTAAACAAACAAACAAAACACAGAAAAAACCCACACCAAACCCAGCTTATCAATCATTTCAGACAATGTGCGGTTGATACATTGGCCAGAACAGGACAGACCGTATTGCAGGCCACAGAAACGTCATAATGAGTTATAGAAGGCTGAAATCATTTGCAGGGGATGCTTCAAACCAGTGAATTTAAATTAAAAATCTCTAAAAATGAGAAGGCCAGGATGACTTGACATATTTGGAAATTAAACAACACGTTTCTAAACATTCACTGGGCTAAGCAGACTTTACGGGGAAAATTAGAAATAATGGGAACCGAATAATAACGTAATTCAAACTTCGTGAGATGTAGCTAACACCGTCCACAGAGGGCAATTTTTAGCTTCAACGGCTTTATTGGAAAAGATGGCAAATGACCCCAAAGATCTAAGCTGCCACCTTGACGAACTAGAAAGAGAAAAGAACAAGGTCAAAGCAATCAGAAGGAAGGAACGAGAAGCAAAGGACGGAGATGATCGCGCCGTCCGAGTTCGTCCGGTCGGTGGCGTTTCCCACGGCAGCGTGAAATGCTGCCCCCCGCGCGGGCTCAGGGCGTCTGTCCTCCCCCAGGAATGGGGTGTGTGTTCCTGGTTCTCACCGTGCCCCCTGCCCTGCCTCTCCCCCGACACAATGCTACCTTCGGAAGGTCCGTCCTTCACCTTCCATCCATGGTAGCAGTTTCCTTAGTCTGTTCTCTGCATCCACTCTGGGTCCTACTCGAGAAGATCTAGCATGTTCTACAGATTTGTGCGTTTGTGCTTTCCACGTCAGTGTGTGGACCGGGAGATAAGATTCAGAGAGAAACTTCGCGTGAGGTTGTTTGAAAAGGAGCAGACTCTATTTCACCATGTTTAAAGGACCCTTGGATGAGATGCGGGATGTATTTTTTTTTCCGAGGAGGAGTCTATTCGATTTAAAGACGCGTCTTCAGAGGCTTGCGAGTCCCTTCCCGCTTCACAGTGTTTTGTTTTTTGTTTATTTCCTCTCTCGTAGATAATGAATTCATCTTCAGAGAACAGAAAGGGAGTGTGGTACTGTGGAACGTTGAAACGAACATGTCTACGGTGTTAATAGAAGGCAAAAAAATCGTAAGTATTCTCTTTACGGACCAAGGTAATTTCCGTGTCCCTCCCGCAAGTCAACAAAGTGGAAAATGACTTGGGGTTTCAGCTTTCAATATAACCAAGCAGAGGCAATGAACTTGTAATACGACGGGCTGAGCGACGATAGATAATGTGGAATGGAAACCACACTAACTTAATAAGGTGAAAGCCCAGTTTCGTTCAGTGTTCGAGAAATTTCTCTGGCAACAAGCGTTGCGGCTCACATATAATTGAAAGATAAAGTCCCAAGGCTTTGCACATTTACAGGACAATTGCAGTGATCCACGGAAAATAGGTCGGCAGGGCTTGCTCAATCCCGTTTGTAAAAATAAACCCGTCTCCGCATGCGCGAGGAATACTAACCTGAGCACGACTATACTTACTCTGATGACGGTGAGTGACGTTTCTGCTTTAAAACGACCACCCGGTCCATAGGATGCTCTGTGCTCTGATCTGGGAAAACCTGTTTTCTGAACATTTAAATGGCGTTAAGATTTGAAGTTTCTGTACAGCTAAAGATATTATTAAAAAACTGACTAAAGTTACGTACCCAAAATTAATTCAAAGAGAATTAACTTTTTTTTTTTAACAAAATACACATTCTCAGTATCGTAAGGAACACAGCTCCAGGGTGCAGACGGGAGCACAGCCTTGTCCCATATGCTGGGGAGATTAAAAAACGAAGGCTCGATCCAACCCAGAGTGGTCTTAACAGCCCCGGTATGAACCGGAAACGCAGAGACCCCAAACTCTCTAATCTGGGCATCAGAGGAGACTGCAGGAGAAAATTAGCCAGCTGTCTGATCTACAGATGAGGATCCTGAGCCCAGAATCAGTGAACGAGTTTGTCATGGTCCCGCAGGTCCTTAGTGACGGGGTGACAGTCCGACGGGCCCTGGGGCCTCAGTCCCAGAAAGGATGGCCCGTCTTGGAACTGCCCCGTCCCCACCCCTGGCACCAGGCAGCAGCTCGGCCTTCTCCCTCCCCGGGGACTTGCACTTGACATTTAAGACCTGTCATTTCTTTCTGGTGTGGCGATCACTTTTTCTTAAAAAGTAAAAACCTCGTTGAGCTTTAGTAACAAACGGATCCCGTCCACCATGTAGAATTCGGTGTCCCCAATCCCCCGGCCAGGGACCAGTACCTGCCCATGGCCTGTTAGGAACCGGGCCGCACAGCAGGAGGTGAGCGGAGGGCCAGTGATCGAAGCTGCATCTGTATCTGCATCCGCGCCCCAGCACCGGCATCACCGCCTCAGCTCTGCCTCACATCATCGGGCGTTACATGCTCACGGGAGCCCTGGTCCCTGTCTGGGGACCGCTGGCCTAGATCGACCGTTTGCGGGTGTGCGGGAGGCCCCGCAAGGTTGCAGTGTGGCGTGTGCCCCAGACGGCAGCGTCGTAGGGTGCCACCGCCCTCTGCAAAGCAGTGCCCAGATGCAGTGAGTGTGCCAGCTTTCCGGCATCGAAAACGACCTTTGGCAGAATTACTTCGCTACAACAATCCGGTTCCACCCACTTCAAAGTACCGAAGGTGCGGAAGCAGCTTCTCTCACCGATCTAGAGAGCGGGGAGGGAGGCGAGCCCCTGGCTGAGGGCGAGGATTGTAATGTCAGGCGTTCACGGTTCCTCCTGGGAGGCGTCAGCCTGGCAAGATCGCCCGACTGCACGTGGCCGTGAGATGCGGGAACGCGAGAGCCGCCTTCTCGTCCTCGAATCCAGAGCTCCTGACGGGTCGGAGATCGTACCCGAAGGCGTGTTCACCACGTGCCGCGGCGGCTCCGGGAACACGTTAGGTGGGGGAGGGAGGAAGGCCCGTCCCATCTCGGCGTCGGCGGGCTGGTCCCTGTAACCCAATCGTTTTCCCCTGAGATGCGACGCATCCGCTCACACCGCACGCGCTGACTGAGTGCCACGTGCCCGGGCCGACTGGCGCGCGTCACGGCCACGTCTGGCCTCGGCGCCGCGGCGCCCGCCTCTACACACACACCTGCAGGAAGGAGGAGGCAGAAGCGGCCTTCAGGGACACGCATGTGACTCGGGATGCGGGAGCCCTGGCTTTGAGGTCCACGAGCCGAGGAATCCTTTACTTCCTGGCGGTTCCTGCTGCCAGCCGCAAACGTGGGCCCTCCGTGGGACCAGCCATAGGCTGCCTGTCCCCACTCCGCGGTCATGATCAAGTTCTGAGGAAGAGAAGTACCAGGGTGTGTGGTCGGTCCCCCGGCCCCGGGGAGCGACAATGGCCGGAGACAGCGGCCGCGAACGTGGAGCGCGGCTCTGTGCTCCCCGTGTCCGGCCCTCGGCCGCCCGCTGCCTCCCTCTCTCCTTACTGGGAATCCAGAAGCTTCGGACCTGGTCAGCCGCTGCAGGCGACCTCGGGAAAGGGCACGCGCGAGGCCGGACACGCGTTCTCAGCGGGTCCGTGAAACCACCGGGGCCACTGGAGGAACGAAGACCCGACGATAATTTATAAAGTTCCCCCTGTGACCTTGGCCTCCCGTCTCTGCTCCCCTGGTCTCTCGGCCGCTCCCCCATGCGAGGTCACCCTAGGGAGTCCCAGCCCTTTGCCTTCGGCATCCTCTTGGCTCCTTGGCTTCCAAGACCAGCTCTTTCCTGGGAAGTGTCCAGTGGGAAGGACGCGGACAGAGTCCAGCGCACGGCCAGTCCGGAAGGAGACGGTTCACGCTCGGCGCGAGCGTGTCACCCCAGCGCCCGCCTCCCCGGGCGGAGTGGCACGCTACACAGTGGCGACAGGACCTCAGGGCTCAGGCCAGATGGGGGCGGGGGGTGAAGGACCCCAAGCAGGACGACACGGAGGACGAGCGAGTCAGCGTGGTGGGGGGTGCGGTCCTCACACCTCGACTCTGGCTCCCTCCCTATAGGAGCTGGGGCTGGGCTCACGAGGCCTTCAAAGCCGGTCATTACAACAAGGCACACTCCGATTTCTACACATAAAGAAAAAAAGAATCCCACACCAGCTCTCCCTTGTATCGTGCATTCGATAGCCCAAGCATTCCACGACGTTATACATTACTCTCATTTCCAAATAATTTAAATGTCAAACACTATATTTTATCTTTATTCTCCTGTAAGAATCTTTTGTCCACAAATTAGAGAAGGTCTATTTTGAACCGTAGCCCGTTTTCTTCCCTATAGAATGAAATCCTGTGACTATATCTCACGCTCAAAATATGTCTTTGGATATTTGGAGACTGTCCGGTTCCTGAAAAACTTCAAGAAACTTTACTGAGTGGAACACCGAGTCCTTTCTTCCCTCCCTCCCTCCCCAGGGGAAGCGCATTTAAAATGAACTTAATACATTTTGCTGAGCTTAATTAGACCTCATGGGGACTGTAATTCTTTTGGAAATTTAAGACCTTCTCTCCACTTCTTCTAAAACTACCTCATAGAGCAAAAATTCTCAGGACGAAGCGTTTCACTTTTGCCGGAGATTCAGGTGTTTAAAGCTGGAATAGACTCTGAAGACGATGTCTTCAAACCCTTCCTTTCCCAGATGAGGAAACCAAGAAGTCCCACAAGCAAAGCTTTGGTCCGACCTCACTTGCAGGGCTGGTGACCCGATAGCCACCCTACTGACCTGTGACGTGGATGCTTCCTGTGCCCTTTTCACTGATGGCACCGGTGGTGACAGGAAGCGGTAAGGCTGCAGTCGTTCATCGTGTCATTTAAAACGGCCCCAGCGTTTGGAAATCAAGATTAGTAAAAATATTGATGCAGTTTGGCTCATTCCAGGGAATTTTTCGTAAGGAAATCAGCTAAAACGTAAAAAAAAAAAAAAAAAAAAGAGAGAGAGAGAGGAAAAAAAACCCGAAGCTAGAGAAATAAGTAAATAAAAATAGATGGAATCTGATGTAGCCATTAAAATAATAGTTACAAAGGCTATATGGTAATCAGAAAAATAGTTACGATGTCATAGGGCATTAACGCAAAAATACAATATTGTACTTACACCTTAATTAACAACTATAAATACCATCCGTATGTATTGAAAAGGCTAATAAGTGAACATCGAACTATCAAAATAGTTCATCTGGGTGAGTGTTCAAATTTTGTATATTATTTGCCAGTTTGGTGATTTTCATAAAGGCCTTTTCAGTGCCATTTACCCAATAATTTCAATCGCGTTTTAAAAAATTCGGCCTCATGTTTCAAAGAGATTAAGCTTCTTCCAATGATGAATATGGAAGATAGTTTCTGGAAATGCTTAGAAGTGAAAACAAGTAAATTTTCTTTAAAAGCATCCTGTGATGCTTCCATCAGGTGTTCTCACTTTTTATATCTGTACTTGTTTTAATTACTAATCTACTTGTTTTAATCACTTATTTAAATTACTAAATTAACATTCAAATCAAGTCCGTTTGTTTCTCTAGTTAAGTCCCCCTTTGATTTTCCATAATCATTACACTGCAAAATTTGAATTTTTATCTCAGTCTCTAAAAATTAATGAATTCTGCCTCCTCGCAGAGAAAGACATAATTACAAGTATTATTAGACCCATTCCAGAATCAAGGAGAGAAACGAGGGGTCCGTTTGTGCATCAGAGGAAGTCCAGAATTTGGCTGAGATTAATACTTGAGACCACTTTTTTTTTTTTTACCTCATCCAGTATATTTGATTTTCACTGTGAATTTCATCGGACTTCATTCTGTTTCATTTCATTGCCATCGAGCGCTCCGTGTGCCTGTGTTCTTAGGGCTGGAGGAGGGAGACACCGTCCTGGGTGTGTCCCCTGTCTGTCCTCTGCAAAGCCCACCGCGATGGCTCAGGACCCAGGCTCCCGCATGTCCTCCACCCCCGGCCCACTGGCGGGAAAGCTGCCCTGCCATTTCCATTCTGTGCTGACATTCCCAGCCGCCACCAGACCTACGGCAAGAACAGGCGCTGAGGCAGGAGCAGGCGGCGTGGCCAGCAAGCACGGCCCCCCCAAGGTGGACTGCACCGGACACACGCCAAAACCCTGGAGGA